ATACGAAGGTTTGCGGCTTTTTAAAAATCTTACTGAAGTACGAAGGAGGAGAAAGAAAACAGCAGAGAGTAGCACAAAATGGTAAGGCCACAGGTAAGTAGATAAGGACCTGCTGAGGTCAAATGTACGTAAGACTGGGGAGGTGCCAGAGAGAAAGGCAAGGCACAAGAGGAATAAATGACTAACAGAAAGAGACTGATAAAAAGATGAGAAAGACAGCTGGGCAAAGGCTGGGATCTGGTTGGGATTGCCAAAGTCCTCATGAAGGACTCTCTACGAAGCGCTTGGAAATTGTTCATGGCTTTACTGGAGCCCCTGAAGCTCACTGATCAATGTCTTCACCACAGGAAACACAGCTGGCAGGGAGACGGGTTTCACCTCACATTATAGCTCCTGAAAAAGCAGCTCATCTTCAGTTCCAGTATCTGAATACAGGTTGTTAAAGCACTATGATACTCTAAATCTGTACTGTCTTCTATGTTGGCTGGCTCTGCAGCAATCTATTTCTTGCCCAAGTAACACATCTGGAGTTTTCTGGTATTAGAAGTATTTAAATCTTCTGCAAGGCTCCTATTTTTTAGGTAACTTTTCTTTGGTTTTGAGTGCCTGGAGAGAAACATCTGAGAATACCTAAATACTAGCTGAGCACTAGGATACATTAAATACGAACTAACACTGTTAGTATAAATCACTTTTTCTCTTAACCTGTTTCAAGCCCTCTGCTCCAGGTTTGAAATGCTGCAGAATACTGTTTGTACAGATGGCACCATTTTCCTTTCTCCATCTCCTTAATATCCACTTGATTATCCCTGTTCCAAACCAATATAATTTAATCTCACAATCCCAAGAACATCATTCTTGCTTTAAAAAAAAAAACAAACCAAAAAACCCCCCCAAAAAAACCAAAACGAAACCCAACAAAACCCAGAAAGACCAGAAAATCCCACACACTCCGCATCATCTGTCAGTCAGTAACCCTTCCAGTGTTTGCACACTCCTGCTCTGGATTCAGTCTTTCACACTCCTTGCATATCAGGGGAGGTGTCTGCGGGAGCCCCTTTCCTCCAACCTAGGTCTGTTCAGCATCAAATTTCACCAGAGATCTAGAACACTTAACACACCCAGCTGTATACCTGAGATAAAAATTTATGCAATCTGACTCCATACCTGCTCCTGTTGTCCTTCTTCTGTCTGTATTTTTATTTGTTTTTTCCAGTGGATTTGTCTGACTTAGAAGAAATGAGCCAACAAGGTAAACATGGACTTGAAGATAATGCCAGTAAGATTTTGGACTTTGAAAACTTTTCCTGTATCTGCTTATTTTTACCTCAAAACATTCTCCAAAGGGAACAGGCATAAATACAGAAACAACTTCAGCAGAAAACACTTAGAAACTTAGCAGCAAATGTCTATGCCTACATATGCCTATGTAGACATTTTATGTTTTCAGCCTCTTTAAAAACTTTCTCGTATCCTGTTCTGTTACCATCACTCATATTAGTTACCTTGTTATGAATATTCAAGAAGACTCACAGGAAATTATGGGCATGGGATTCAAGTAACATTTCCTGCCTGTTAATCACCATGGAGTGACACCTTCCTGATCCTGTCTGCTAGAGCAGAGAGGCAACTTGTCTTTTGCAAGTTACACTGAAAGGGAATAGTATGGGGTAACAGTGGTAGTCAGTGCTTGTTTAGTATAGTAATAGATTTGATAGAACTTCTTAATGACAAGACCAAAAAAAGCCACCCATGTATACTCCCCACCTTCAGTAATATTAGACATGTTAAAAAAAAAAAGTATAGAAACGGAGAAATGGACACTACATTATTTGAAGGAAAGGCTTCTAAGCCATTATGAAGAACACTGGGAATGTGAGAATTTAGAAGATTAAAATGAATGGTTTTCTTATTTCAGTATTTGAAAGGAAAGACAGAAGCATAGATACACAGTTCAGCTTTCTAAAAAGACAAATTTTAAAAGATATAAACCTGTATTTTAGGTTTTTTTAAAAGTGCATTTGAATATCTGTGGTTGCACATAAGTTAGTACTGTATACTCACAAAATTTTGCAAAGACAGGCAATTTTCAGAAGTTCTTATGAACATTTCTATTAAAAACTAAGGCTTTCTTGTATTTCATAAAACACTTCTTACTCTAAAATTCAAAAGCCATAGGAAAACTTCAGAACTTCTAGTTAAAAAATAAGTAACGGAAGCACAATAACATCTACCCCAAAGGAAACTAAAAACCAGTCCATAAGCCACCATTTCCTATAACAGACAATTCCTAAGAGAAGAGATCGCCCTCACCCATTATCTTAAACCTCAATAGAGCTCCTATTCTGAAGTTTAATACAAAAAAGAAATGTCTTTCATGTTATAATGCTCTACTATCACTTCTGAGATACCACACTCTAAACACTAATAGTTACATTTCTCAACAGACTTTCACTACTCTGGTAATAAATACTTCAAGACAGACTAGATTATTGTAATACAGGACAAGACATTTCAGTCTCTGCCTCTTTAGTTACAGTGGCGACTATGAAGCCAACACAACTCCACAAGAACTTGTTAAACTTAAAACTTGCCTCTTGCTAACTGATTATATTAAAATAATCCAAAGAAAACGTTGTTGTGATGTCGTACACCACACAAAGATCGCAACTGCCTACTTAACTAACTTTTCCATATAAGAGCACTTCAAATTCCAGCAGCATTCAGAGATTCAAAACACTCCAATTTCAGTAATTCCCAGTTAAAGGTAAGAAAATTGGTACAGTAACAGAAAAGCATTTCTACTGTAGCCCTAAAGTCTACCACAGAACATGAAGAATTTGACAAAAAAGAAACAGTCACTTTTCTTTAGGCCCAACCACATCAATACCAGCTTGAGCTACAGTTTTCTAAACTATTGTGCAAAACAACTACTGTGCTAAAAATATGTTATTACTCAAACTTTGAGATATTCTCTCCAGAGATAGGACTTCCTGATAGGAGATTCAAATTAATAGGAAGTGCCCTTCCTGTGTTTTCTAGACTGCTAGACTAATGAGTTTGTTTTCAACAGCCTTTAAAAAAAAAAAAGGGGGCAGATTAACCAACTGATTGGTGTTCTCTGCTTTAAAGTGAAGTGACCTTGTATACAGAGCATAAGTATAGTAGACCACAACCTTCTCTACTCTGGGACAATGCTGTAGCAAGTTTGGTTTTCCCTGTATTTCTGAAGGAATTTGTACAGGAACTGCCTTGAGACCGTGTCAGCTGGTGACTTCTATTTTACTCTGCATGAAGCCCTGTTAGAAACTGATGGGAATACTTGTGAAGGAGCTGAGCACTAAGATAAGACTCCCACTTTCAGGGGAGTTATTTTTATTCAGAGAAAGCAAACAGCTCTGGCCACGTGTACACAGCTATGCCAAACCTAACCAACTCACTCCAACTATATAAAAACACTATATAAATTCAGCAGTCTTAACTTAAACAATAACTACAGAAACTATACTCCATAGTATAATACAAGGAAAAAAATTGCTGATTTACACTTGGGACTTCCAGATACTCCGGCAAAGTGATAATCAATACCAACTTTGTAGAAAAAACAATTATGCATTACAATCAACTAACTTTTCAGGTCAGTATGCTGGTATGCTCTGCACACAGCAAAAACATGGAGACAAAAGGCTGAAATACACATACAAATGCAGTTTTCTTTTTAATACTAATTACCCATTTGATCTTGATACATGAGGTATGAAGGAAAACTAGACAGCTCCAGCATGTAGTCAGACTAGGAAGTTCAGCAGTCTCTTTTACCAATTAGGGTAAATTTTTCAGACTTTTTCATGTGCACAAACCCCCCCCCCCCACCATTATAGAAAGTTAACAATGTGGATTTTGACAGACAGGATCCTCCTGACTTCCCGCTGCACAAACTGAGGTTCCTGCAAGACTCTGGTTATTGGAACATTGCATCACCAATGAAGTGATGACCATCTGCTTCTTTAACCTGGTAAGAAGCTTTACCTTTCCTACTTCTATATTGGATGCCTGAAGACATATACAGCAGTTCAAGTATAATAATTAAACTTCAGATATGTAGACAAAAGATTTTCATCTTAACACAAGTTTATTTCTTCCTGTCTTCCCCAGCTAATGGAAGTTTACTTCTTTATTGTAAATGTCCCTGCTCTTTGAAAGTTTCTGATATTTAAAAAAAAGGAATTAAAAAAATTTTAATTAACTCATCATAGAAAGTATTATTTTCGTCCAGGATTACTAGATTATTATTTACACCACATAATCCTGTGCCTTATTATGTATTCAAGTAAATATTAAGCATTTCACTCTCCTTTGTTGAATGCTTAAATTATTTTACTTATCTTTCTTTTAAAATGTAAATATAAAAAAAAGTAAATATGTCAGACTAGTTAGAGATCAACCTTCCAAAGACTTCAAATGTATTCTGTCCTTTTAAATTTTAATAACAGTATCAATCTCAAAAGAATCTGACTGCTTTAAAGTCTTGCATCGAAAATTTTATTTCACAGTATGTTCACACATAAACAGGCATCTTCACCTATTTTTCTAACAATTTGAATTTTTCCCACATGTAATTTTAATGGCAAAGTTTAAGCAGTAAGGTTCTGCTACAGATTAGAAGAATAGCTTAACTGTGCTCTGGCCACATCATGGCCTGGGAGGAAAAGACAAGGGGTAACTAAAGTCACAGTCAAACAGCAGTCTGCTACTAAAGCTCTGCCCTGTGACAACCCCCCCAGGCAACTTGTTAAGAGCAGCTCTCTTGTTAAAACCAGAACCTTTGTGTTGTCAAAGCAGCAAAAAGGGCAGAGAACTAATTGCAGGACTGGAAAATGCCCTTTCCTTCTCAACTTTGAGTATAATTTGTCTGATGTAATTTTTTTTGAGAGCTTCAGTGTATTTCCTAAAATAAAAAGAGGAAAAGCTGCAGCTACAGAAATAAACAAAAGTCTCACCTTGTTATGTTCATACTTGTATGGGATTTTGAGGGTATCCATGGCTCTGATCATGGCCTGCATTGCTGTAAATATATTCTGGTACACCAGTTTTGTAAAACCCCTTTTATCTTCATCAGAGTAACCTGATCCATGAATGATTCTCATCTGCTTGATAAACGTGCTTTTGCCACTCTCTCCTGTGCCTGCAAGACAAATAAGAAGGATATGATTTAGCCACTGGACACAAACATGACTTTTTTGCACAAGGCTGACAGCTTATTTAGTGCAGGGCTGAACAGTGTGAAGTGGTGCTTGCAACATAACTACAAGTGTCAAACAGCAGCATCAGTAGCAACTGAAGTACCACTGAATTAAAACTTGCATTTTGATTTAACACCTGAACTAATGAGTAAAACAAAACTCAAAAATGTACATATAGCATATGACTGCATATTTAAAAATCTTCCATTCTTGAAGATACAATTGTCCAAAACATCTAACTTCAGGTAATTACTATGAGACATTTTATCACAAAAATTCAGAAAGTAAGAAATTTATCTTCCTTCACCTTTCAGGCAAACTTTCAGGTCAACTTTCAGGACACTATGGTAAGCACTGTACAACCAATAGATACTTTTTTTTTTTTTAAATTACAGGTCTGCAAACTTTAACCTCAGAAACATGTGATATCAGTGTTAATTAAAATTTGGCTCATCCATTAATGGGCTATCATTCCTTCCTTCTTTAAATTTCTTTGTGTCTTTGTACTTTGTACTAAAAGTAGTTTGTTAATGAGCATTTCTGACTGTCAGTTTGAAGTTAAGATCTGCTTGTTGGAAATTTCACAAAGGATACATCACACTATTTTTCCTTTGCTTCAATTCAGTGAGCTCATCCTCTGTGACTAGAAGAGCTTATCTATATTATTCCTGTGTTTGCTTAAAAGGAGGAGTTGAAATTTAGAATGAGCAGTTGCAGAGCCGCATAAATCCTGTGTTCACCCAGCTACTCAGCCCTGCAGGAAACAAAACACATGCACCAGGGTGCATTGCTCAGCACTGTGCTCTTCCGCCTTTCAGTCTGTGTTTTATTTTAATCATTTCTGTAAAGCTTTCATGCTTCATACCATAATACTCACGTCCCAGGACAAAGGCAGCCTTATGCCCCTTACATAATGTTTTAGGGGTCTTGTCAGAGAAGAGTATTTCACAGCAGCGCAGTGCAAGGTTACAGGAGCAACCCTCAAGCATTTCTGAGATAGCACACACTGCAAAAATCCAAGCTGGAAGCCTCTAGAAGCTTTTCCCTTTACCATGAGCATCACTTTGAAACCTCCAGTCCCATTTCCCACAAGTGTAAAACAAACTTCTAACACAAGTCTTCCTTACACATGCACTCCCAGAAAATCAAGCACGATGTTACATACCAACCAATTTTGCTTTCTCTGGGGAGAAATTGGTCATTACTGTAATGAAGAAGAATATGCTCTGAAGGTGAGAAGTGAGACCAAGCCTGCTTCCACCCTCAGCCTGCACTGTGGTCAGGAGCGTAGCACTACAGGCACAGGCCACCTCTGCAGGGACCTGTCTAGCAACGAAGCAGAACTTGCCCCACACAACATAACAAATTCATCCTAACCAGGCACGGGTCTTTGAGGAAAGGGTGATGTAGTTAGTACAGGCCATCCTGGCTCAATCGTGGCCTGTCTTCCAGTTCACCAGAATCAGAGGTGAGATCTTTACACTTTTGCAACCTACCACCATGGAGAAAACATTACTTTCCTGAAGACTGTACGAAATTACAAACCTAGACAATACAGAACTATCACATACTAAAAAATACTTTAGGCTACCCTTAAGAGCACCACAGTTTTTCTCTTCTTCTGAAACCTATGAAACAGAGTCATGTCCTTATAGACAAAGTGAAATAAAGTGCCATAGCACACATTTTTCAGTAATTCTGTAATACTGTCCAACTTTCTTGCAAGACGTGTCACACATTTAGTACAAAAATCTGTTCAACATGAACCTATAAGGCACAGAATGGTTACGAGGTGCATTTTTGACATGATCAACTCTTACTCAAGATTCTGCTTTAACTAATGCATAAGAAAATACCTTCCACCAAACACCTTTGAACCAGTGGAATACAAAGTGGCTTCCAGTTTTGGTCCTGACTCTTCCCTACATGGGTATCCAGATTCTTTCAAAATCCCCAAATGCCAATTTAGCATACAGATAGAAAGAACATGCTGGTATTAGCTACTCTGTTTTAAAACCTGAAGCTCCTAATTCTTTTATTTTTTTTATTGGGAACACAGGTAGAGATTGATATCACACATGATAATCACACACAAGAAAGCATGGTGGTAAAGCAATCTGCATCATGTTAGAGAAGACAGTATTTCAGATTATTTGCACCTTGGAAGTGAATCTACAAAAACCACAATACATAGGAAAACAAAATTAAAATCTAAAGAAGAACCTAAACCATAAGTTCGCATGTTATTCAGCTTTGTGGTTCTGTAATTGGGTGTCACTGTACTAAGACTTCATCAGCCAAAGACCAGTAACAAATCATACTTGGATACTTAAAGATATAAACACACACACACACAATATGTATTTTATGTATTTTTCATATAAATATATATATGAAAAATGTATGTTGTATATACATACACAATACGTATAACTACCCCTACGTATATGAAAATGGTACCTCTCTCTCTTTTTTCAAAGGCCATCTCAAAGTTTCCTCAAGTCTATCCCCCTCCAGGTCAATGCTTAAAACTACTTTCTTGTTCCTGCACACAGACTAATTTTCTGGTTAAGCCAGCAGCAACGATGAGAACATTTCTAGTCCTCCTTAACGCCATGGAGTGTCACATGTGTAGGGGCAAAATGTGGAACATATCCTGGTGAAAAAGGAGATAATGGAAAACTTCCAGCACAGAATGCACCAAAATAGGTTAAAAGAGTATGAATGACAGATAATAATAAAATTTACAAGATTGCCCCCAAATTACTAAGAAGATAAAATGTTCATTTTTAGCACAATGTACAGGAACTCACAAAACCTTCACATTATTAGTTCCTATTAGATAGTTACAATCAAGGGCAGAAAGTAAATATTTTTATATTGTTGCTGACAAGAAAAGCATGCAAAGAAAATTTCAAGTATGTTTTTTTTTTTAAACAATGTCATCAAATCTTTCTGTAAATAAGCGTCCTGTTTATGTAAAAACTGCTAAATAGTGACAGAACACCATTTACAAGCATATCACTAGACAGCTGCTCAGATACTTCTCTAAAAACTAAAATAATAGGAAGGAAAACAAGCAATGTTATTTATTGTCAGAGGGAAAAATTTGGCATAATGTATTACCAGGGTCAGCTAAGCAAAGCTGCTATCATTACAGCATTATTCCTGGTGGGGAGTGGGATTTTAAACTATCACTGTTACACCACTGAGTCAAACATAGATTTGATTATTTTTTAATATTTTTTTGCTTTTAAAATGCCATGAGTGGCATTTGAAGAAGATCAAGACACTGACTGATGCAACACCAGCTGTGCTTTCTACAGCCTCATTCGTTACAGAGCGATTTAAGAAATAACAACTTGGCAATACCTGCCTAAAATCTTACCTATCACCATAATAAACAAAACCACTGCTTCTACCACTGTCATTCCAGGAATACCTCTTGCTGATATAAGGAGAGAGCAAAGGTGAAATGGCAGTGGAGCAGATCAGCAGAATGGACCAAGGCGGGATCAAACTATACCAAGATCAATTTTCTGCTGGCCACCACTGCACATTTAAATTAATTAAGACCTGGATCAGTTCTCCAAAGCCAGATGAGTAGTAAATTCTTGTCTGTTGGAAGACAGTTGAAGGCCACACAACATACCTGAATCTCAGTAATAATAATAATAATAATAATAATAATAAAAGATGAGGGTGGTATTATTATTATTAAAACCCCACGATCCTAATGTAACCTTTGGGTGCTACTATGGAGAGAAGTCAATGGTGTGACTGAAAAAAAAAAAAAAAAAAACTTCCTGATTCACGCATGCAGTATGGTGGGTCATTTGACTTTTTTAAAAATTTCTTCCCAGATAAAAAACCAACCCAACTGAAAAATAAAAAGAACTAACTAACTGTCTTCTAAAAGCATTAAAGAGATGTCTCAAACAGTGATGAATTCCCATTCAAGCGTGGCATACAGGATTATCAAAACTTGTAAGAGCTGAGCATCTTACAACTGGGCAAATCTCTGAAGACCTCCCCGGAATTTTTTCTTCAAATGCTAACACCAACAAATATTACAACCAGAGATCTGAAAGTCCTCCCAGCAGTATCATCTCCAAAAGCAGAACCAGGAAGGAAGTCAGGTTGCTTAAATGCAGCAGTAATCCCTTATGCATGTGCTTGCACACACATACATACAGATCATGCACAATTTACTGTATTATTACTGTTACTCCTGATGCATGTCCTGCAAAAATGAAACTACAGAAACACAACATTCTTTGCCCTGTGAAACTTACAGGAAAACTTAAAACATGGTTAATTTTAAATAGGTGACAATGCAGCAACTGTCAGAGTGGCTTCAAAACTCATGTGGTGGCTAACAAGGAAGACATAGAAAACTAATTTAAAAATAATTCTAGACTAGAAGCCTAGGCTGACAAACTTTTCTTTCACCTGGGTATGCGATGCATACCTGTACTTGTTTTTGCATTTCTCTGCACTGTAACTTAAATAAATCTGAAGTATGATATCTTGAGTGATCAAATACAAGGCTGTTTTTAAACTAAAACAACAAAAATGTCATTGTCTAAGCAAAATCCACACTGGCATCTGTTAAGAAAAGAAATGCTCCTAAACTACACCTGACTCTCTGTGTTTATTCTTAAGTCTGACCTATGAAAAGGCAAAGAAAAAAAAAGCTCTATTTTGTTGTTTGAAATTTCGTATTTAAATTAGATGGAAAAGACATTGTCAATATGTAAGAAAAAAACCTATTTAAATCCACTACCCTGTTAGTCACTATCCACATATATTTACTAAGAACTGTTAAATCAACAAGTATGTACATTCACAGAAGACTGGCTTTTAGCCTGGGACTTGGTGGCAGAAAGAAGCCCAGAGGCACCTGGAAAGTGAAGGTTCATGGGTGAGAGTGGAGTCAACA